TGCCCCCTGGCGGCCGCCTGGAGAGGACACGCGCTCCTTCAAGTGGGATGAAATGGCTGCTCCGCCCCGCAGCGCCCCTCGTCCCCCCTTACTCGAGGTAACGCGGGGTGCGCGGTGCCCTCCCGTTTCGAGCACCGAGCGCGTCCCGGACTCGTGCCGCGGAAGGCGGCTGTGGGTCACACACCGTGTGCTGCGTGGCCGTTACCGCCTGTGGTGGAGGCGAATTGCGGGGCCTGAAATACCGAAGGGGCTTTGTGGTTCGTTGAGACTTCAGGAGCTCACAGAATTCCTCCTGCGACGCGGCTGGCCGGGGCCGTGGCGGCATCGTGCAGCGAGGGGCCGGGAACAGGAGGCGGCGCTCCTGGATAAAATAAAGCAAAAGAATTTTTCAAAGAATGTACCGGGACCCGCTTGTGCTCATCCTGCAGCAGCTCTTTGTTCTCCAAGGGGAAGTAAAAAGCTCCGGGGTTTTATCCTGGTTCTCTGAGGAGCGCTGGGGCCCACCAGCACGTGCTCCGGCAGCACGTATAGATGCAGGGCGAGGTGCAGTCAGATGTGCTTTGGGCCTGCGGCGTTCCTGTGGGAGCTGTGATGCTGAGGGTGCGCTGGACTGGGACCTGTTTTCAAGGCTTCTAACTGCCCATGCCTGGAAACGCAGGAAACTCTCCCCCGCCGCTGGCTGCAGTCACGCCGTTCAGTTAGTAGTGAATCCATTCACTTCGACTAGGCTCTCTTAGCCTTTGCTCAAATTACGGGTGCTCCAGTCCCTTAATCATCATTGTGGCCCTTCAATTGACTCTTTTTTGTCCTGGAGCGCCCAAACCTGGGTACAAAAATGTGGTCCAACTTCACAAATCCCCTTGGCTTTTAGTTATCGGGACTACTGTAAGGAACACGTTCCCTGGAAGTGGGCAAAAGCAGTGCGTTCTAGGCCCCACGTTCATCTTCTTCATTGCTTTTTATGACTGAGTGTTAATCCCTTCAGAGCATCCCTTCCTTATTAAACTATCGTGTCGGCTTTTCTTATCAGTGCCCCCTTAATACTGTCTACATACTCTGGAACCATTACCTTCTACTAGATGTGTTTTGCTGCTCCCCTTCCTTCCCTGTTCCTTGAAATGTGCAAATGCTGTTATATGCTGCCTCAGCAATACATGTGAAAGTGACTTGGGATATTTGCCAGTCATCTTTGGCTTGTGAACTTCTCATTCACATGTTTCTGGTCTCTATTTGCTTGTTGTCAATATCTGGCATTTGCTTTCCTAGCTAGTGAATCCAGAGATGGCCCCGACAGGGCCTTCTTAGGCAGAAAAAGGACTTTCTTTTCCTTAACTGCTCAGTAGTTTGTAAGTTTGCTCTTCCAGCATCAGTAAGTTAGTAATGCTGGTGGCTTCACTTGCAATAGCTACGTTGTTTGGAGAGCCTCAGAGAGTGGATCTGTATTTCTAATTGTTGATACTAGTGATGTAACTTCAAATTTGGAACTTTAGTATAGGTCCTGCTTACTTACAGGAGGCAAAACCATTTGAAAATCAGTCAATTGCTCTTCATTATATTGTTGCATCTCACCACTATCTAGAAAATGAAGTTGAGCCATTCAAGAAACTATCTGTAAAGATTGTAGCCTAACAAAGTTTACTAGGGCTCTGCCAGGGCTGACAAAAGGGGATGTGCGTACACATATTAGGAAGACGGTTCCTTCCTCTACTCGTTTTCCTCATGCCTAGTGCTCTGGAAATGAATATGGCCGTGCAGAAGTGAACTCTCCTTCTCATTCTGTGGGGCCCACAGTGGTTTTAGTCTAGTGGTCCCTTCATCTATGGTTTTAATTCTACTGAAACCAAAGAGACACACCAGCAGATAAATTAGTGCAGTAACTCATTGCTTTGTCAACATCCTCTAATGGAAAAAAAAAAACCACCAAATGACTTTACTTAGATCCTTAGCTGGTTATCTGCTGTCCTTCCTGACTCTGTAGTGAAAGACAAGTGGGTGATATTTTGCACATTCACAGGCCGTAGGCTTCAGTGTTTGAGAAAAACTCTTTCAGCTCAATAGCACATATTCTAGTGAAGCATCTAACCTGCAGGCAGGGTTGGTCGTGTTTATCTGTGTCTGTAGCATTGATTTGAGGCTAACTTGTTTGAAAATGCCAGATGGAAAAGGTTGCACTTTTATTACTGTATTAATTGCTTTTGTTTTATTAACTTCCTAGGCTGGATTTACAATGGACAGAGTGCTTTGCAAATGAAAGTGCATTATTTTTCATTGTATTATTGCATTGCACTCTCATCTGGAGAGTAAAATACTCCTTTCAAGGTGTAACAAGCTGTAATTTCATTGAAGACTCTCTAGTATTCGTGCACAAGAGCACAGTTGTAACAGTTTATTCACAGGAGCCAGAAGGTCAAATTACTGGCCCTCCAATACCCAACTGGAGATACATTATAGCTCTGATGTATCGGTGTGCTGAAATTGGATGGGTTGTACCCTTAAAGACATTCCAAGCTGTTGTAGCCGTTTGAAGCATCGCTGTCCTTTCCTGCTACTTTAACGCAAGAAGAAGAGAGCCAAGAGGCTGTTTGGCAATGAAAGGGTTGTTTTCTCCCTTGCCTTGGGAAACTGTGCTCTGCTGTGTGAGCCACTAGGAGTCATTCTGCAGCTGAAGGTGGCTTAGTGGTTTATTGAAAGTCTGTTTACTTCCAGCACAGGGCAGTAATCTCATTGCAATGCAGTAAGCACTTCATATTTTGCAGCATGCTTCTTTGCAGCTGGGTGCACTTCATCCTCCCCATAGCCTGCAGATGCCATGTGTATGCTGGTGGGTTTGAGATGCGGTGCCCAGCCCAGCCTGAAGTGCAGGAATGTTGTGCTACCTGGAGCTTGGCTGAAACATCAACAGTTGTCGCAGCAATGCTGTGATGTGATGTGGCATGGCACTGTCTGCAGCAATTTCTGGGGTTTTGTGAGTTGCCCATAAATCTATGTAGTCATCAGTGACTCCGAGTCAGGAGCCATTCCTGCAGAAATTCAAAGCAAAGCTCTGTTACCATTCCCAGACTTCTGGCATTTAGCCTGAAAGATTTCCATTGAAGCACTTTACTGCCTGCTGATTCTTGGCCCTAAAATCCTGCTTGCGTTTTGTGATTTAGTATTTTAATTAAAATGACTCCATTGATTTTAAAGGGAAATTATTCCAACTGACTTCTGAGGAAAACGAGGCTTAATTTTTACCCTTCTAAATTGCTTCCAGCAGTGGCTGTTTTATCAGGGCACTTTCTGTTGTTACTTCCATCACCGGTCACATTGCAGCTCACAAGAGAAAGCCCTCCAGCTTCTCTGTAGAACGGAATCATACCGGGCGGAATCGTTGCTCACAGCGCGGCAGCACGGGGAGATCCGCGGCAGCAGACGCGGCGCTGCGGTTCGGTTCGGTTCGGTTCGGTTCGGTTCGGTTCGGTTCGGTTCGGCGGTGCCGCGCGCTCCCGGCTCTCAGCGCGGGGCCTCTCCAGGAGACTCGCGACAAAGCACGTAACTCAAGCGGCATCTGGGGGCGGGGTCGATGTGGGCGGGGCCTCGCGCGTCGCTACGCCTCCAACGGCGACGGCGCTGCGCGCTGACGTCGCGCGGCCCGGGCGAACGTTGCGGCGGCGGCGCGCGGGGATGGAGCGGCCATCGGCGGTGCGGCGGGGGCGCCTCGCTCGGCGGTGGGTGACCTGCGGGCGGCGCCGCCGTCGCTCCCCGGGGCCGCGTGGCGGGGCCGATCTCCGCGGGCCGGGCCGGGCCGGGCCGGGCGCCGAGGCCTCCTCCGGCTCCGCCGCTCGGCCGCCCATTCGCGTCGCCGCCGCCGCCTCGCGGCCGGCTGGGTCCTCCCCGGCTCCTGCCCGCGGGAGCTCGGCGGGGGCGGCGCGGCGGGGGAGCGGTGCGGGAGGGCCCTGCCCGGAGCGTCGCGCGTCGCTCCCGGCCTCGCTGTGCGTGTGGGCAGCCGGAGGCGCGGGGCGGCCGAGCGGAGCCCGCGCGTGGGGGCGCGCTGTGCGCGGTGGGGGCGCAGCGTTGCGGAGGAGCCGAGGAGCTGAGGGCCGCCCGCAGCCCCGCTCCGCTACTTCACCCGCCGGTCCCGCGCTGCGCCGTCCGGGGCGGGGGGCCCACTGGCCGCTCGTTCTGTGCACGTCCGCTGAGCTGTGCCATGGGTGCGGGAATCTGCTCGGCGTGCGGTGGGCTGAGGAATACGTTGAGGCCAGTGTATTTCAGAACGAGCAAACAAAAGAAAAACAAACGTTTTCTTGTGTGCTCCCTGCCATGCGTATCCCATACAATTGCTTGGTTTTTGTGGGCTTTTGGCTTTTTGTTTTTTTTTTTTCCCAGGAAGCTTTCTCGTTTGAGCTTTGTCAGTGTCTTATTTGGTCATAGTTAAAGGTGCAGTGACCAAAGGCAGCACTAATCCAGGTGCACCCATGGCTGTGTAGCTCCTTCCCTCTGCAGGTGTTGCTGCTGTGAGCTGCCTCTGCCCTCCTCACACTGTGAGCAGTGCTGGGATTTGTGCTGAGCGGGATGGTGGGAGCAGCGTGGTGTGTAGGGCTGGATTCACTGCTTGGGGATTCCTATAACAAACAGTAGGAATTAAGGATTTCTATTGTATCTCAGTCCAGTTTTTTAATGAATGAATGGTAGAACGACCATTCTAACTGCTGGCGTGTTCCTGTATGCTGAAATACAGGCGCTCTGCAGTGTGATGTTAGGCTGTGTGCTCCCTTATGGTCAGGCTTAACCCAGGTGCTCCAAGTGTTTTCTCTTTGAGTTAAGTTATTAGGGTGCACTACTCAGAATAGGAGACAATACTAGAAACAGTCTCTTGACATTAAATGTGCCAAAGCTGACAGAAACTCACTGCTTCAAGTCAGAGTAGGTCCTTCTCTTTGAAGGAGATGGGTTTGCAGTGGTGTTTTGTTGCTGATCAGGTGTCAATGCTTTTTTCTTATGGTGCTTATTAATTTCGGCAGGTCTTTGTCCTTTATGAAGAAGCTGTGTTGCCAAGACTTGCTGTGAAGATGACCCACGCTACTGAATGCAGTTGTCTGCAAATGTAGGAGCCAACAAATGCTATGTCCCACCCTCCCTTGACTTTCCTCTTTCTCATGGAATATATATTTCTAAAGTATTTCTAGATCTTTACTAAAAATGTTTGGATTATAGCTATGACCACATCTATGCAAAGGAGATGAGCAAGCCTGAGCAATGCTGAGGTATGTATACCTTTTGTATCTCATAACATATGGGTAATCAAAATGTGTTACTGAATTCAATAACAAATATGTTTGGAGAGTGAACCTGTGCAAGTCTGTTCAACAGTGGCAATGAACAAGGGCTTGAAATGTGCTGTCTGGGCAGAACACAAGTGATTGGGTCTTGGGCTCCCTACGTGCAGTAAGTGGCCAATGTGTGTTGGAGGAAGAGGAATGGTGGGAAGATGTGTAAGGAGAAAACCATCTTATTACAAAGAATTGGAGCATGCTACTTCTCTTTTGGCGTAAGTAGTCTGAAAGGTGAATTAGTGTACATTGGAGAAATGTTGCTGTAATGCTGTTTTGAAAGGTAACTAAAACATTTCAAAGTATTTAAAAGGCTGAGATACAGAGCTGGGTGGTAGTGTCATTGGTCCAACTTAGGAGATGAGCTGTGATGGGAATTCTGCAGACACCTACGCTTACAGTTTCTTCAGAGAGAAATTTGGCAGATTTCAGTATTTCTCAGAGCTGCGTGTGCTGATCGGTCTCCCTCAGTAAATTCCTTGGCCCAGTTTTTCATCCTGGAGCTGTTGGCTGTGATTTTCCTGGAGGTTAGTTGCCATAGAAATTATCCTGTTACAAATAAATATGCTTTTTATAATCTCTGGGTATGGTAATGGGGAGCAGAAAGACTGTTGGCCTTCCTGAGAGCAATAGAAGCTTCAGACCCATGGAGGCTTAATGGTGGTAAATCACCACCAGTAGGAGAGAGCTGAACAAGTGCCTGATTGTGTGGGTGAGTGGTGGCAGTGATGAATAGCATCATTTGGTCCCTGAGTAAAGAAAAGTGGTAGAGTTTACATTACAGTGAGTCTGAGTAATAGTTAAGATTGGAGAAATGGAAAAGGAACGACTTCTGTTCAGAGTCTGTTATGGTGGGACTTACTGACTCAGTGAAGTGAAAGCATTTTTGATGGAAAAGAACCTTTCCGAGGGAGGTGGCCATTGTGATCCTATGTGGTGTGAGATTTGGGTGGAGATAACATCTAGATTCAGTCTTGAGCTAGTCCAGCAGCAGGGTTGTGGTGGGAAAGCTGAAAGCAGAAAAGACTGTGCAGGTGGGGAGGATCAGGCTAGGGAACATATAAGCAATGTGGCACCTATTGAGATGCACCCATGAGAGCAATAAGAGAACTGGCTGTTACCGCTGCAAAGCCACTGTTGGTTATCTTGGGAGGGCTGTGCTGAGCAAGGAAGAAAGCAAGTTCCACCCATCTTCCAAAAGGAATCTTTTTAAGGAGAGAACCATGAGTGGGTCAGTCAGCTCACCTCTGTTCTGGGAAAGGAGATCAAATAAATAGCTAGAAACAGTTTACAAGCATGTTAAAAAAACAAGAAGGTGATTATGTCTATTAGTCATTATGCCTAACCACCCTGGCACCTTTCTACAAAGAGATGACTGGCTTGGTAGATTTGATTGGTTCAGCTTCGGTAGAGCTTTCAACTGTCTACCTTAACTTTCTCATAGGTAAACTGAGGAAATGCAAACTAGATATGTGAACGCTGAGGTGGATGAGAAATGTTGAGGTTGTTTGCCATCCTACTTGTTGTCTGCTCATCTAATTGCTGTACTGCTGGTGAGAATTGTGATCAGTGGCGGGAAGGCCCAGCTGGAGGCCTGTTGCTAGTGGAGTTCTGCAGGGTTTGGCACTGTGTTCAATCCTGTTTAGCCTCTTCATTAATGACTTAAATGGTGAGGTTTTAGTGATGAAGTAATGTAAGCTACCAGTTTGACTTTAAAGAAAAACTAAATCATAACAAAGTTGCTACTTTTTAATTCAGTCAGTGGAAAACTTTCACATGGCTGATAGCAAAAGCAGCTGAGTCAGTGGGAAAAGCGTTGTGATTGTTCTGCACCAAATGGCTTGCTTTTAGAAAATAGAAGTTTTCAGGTCCATGCTGCTCAAAGATCAGAGAAGGAATGCTGGTTTTGAGTCACTGGGAGGAATATCTTACCAGTCTGTGCCAGATCAGGTCAGCTGTTCATCTTCCACAAGTCAGTGTGAATGTGATGCTTTCCAAAACCCAGGGAGAAGGACAAATGTTAGAATCACATGCAGCCTGCTTGCTGGTAGATCTCTTTCCTTGCAAGCCTACTGTTGTAACGTGTATCAACCCTCTTGTAACTCCAAGCCTGTGATAAAGCTTTGTTTGTAGAACTAGAGGTGTTAAATCTTGTCCTCTGTGCTGGCATTGTCACAGGTGGATGAGCTGGGAGAAGCAAGGAGAGGCACTCTTTCTGACCCATTCTTTTGACTCAGTCTCTGTAGTGCCTGAAATAGCTGTGCTGTAACCTTTTATCTCTTGGGAAGCAGGATGAAAATAGCTGTTTTTCCGTTCTTTGTGGTTCACTTGTTCCTAACATTTGAGACAGCTTTGACACGTAGTAGCAGCATCTCCTGGCAGAACGAAGGAGCATCTCTGAATTTTCTCTACCACACCTCCTTTCTCTGGTGGAAAGTTACTGCCAAAATGCTTGGCATGGCCCAGTAATGTATTCCTCCAGAGTGTGGAACATCTGATTGAGATAATGCCAATAGCAAGAGTGGGTAATAGGAGGATAACTGGCCTCAGAAAGAGATACTTAAAGGAACTGACAACACCAAGCTGAGCGGTGCGGTCGACATGGTGGAAGGAAGGGATGCCATTCAGAGGGACCTCGACAGGCTGGAAAGGTGGGCAAGGTGAACCTGATGAGGTTCAACACGGCAAAGTGCAGAATTTTGCACATGGGCTGGAGGAATCCCAGGCATCCCTACAGACTGGAAGGAGCGGTGCTTGAGAGCAGCCCTGTGGAGAAGGACTGGGGGTCTTGACAGATGAAAAGCTTAACGTGAGCCAGCAGCGTGCTCTTGTGGCTCGGAAGGCAAATGGTGTCCTGGGCTCCATCAGAAGAGGGGTGACCAGCAGGGACAAGGAGGTGATTGTCCCCCTCTGCTCTGCTCTTATGAGGCCCCATCTGCAGCACTGTGTCCAAGTGTACAAGAAAGTACAAGAAAGACAGGGAGCTGTTGGAGAGGGTCCAAAGGAGAGCCATGAAGATGATCAGGGGACTGGAGCACCTCCCCTACGAAGACAGGCTGATGGAGCTGGGCTTGTTCAGCCTGGAGAAGAGAAGCTGCGGGGTGACCTCATTGCAGCCTTTGGTACCTAAAGGGAGCCTACAGACAGGAGGGGAATCAACTCTTGGAAAGGGTTGATAACTGCAGGACAGGGGGAAATGGTTTGAAGTTGAGGGAGGGGAGATTTAGATTGGACAGATTTAGATTGGATTAGTCAGGGGGAAACTCTTTACAGAGAGAGCGGTGAGGTGCTGGAGCAGCTGCCCAGAGAGGCTGTGATGCCCCGTCCATCCCTGGAGGTGTTCAAGGCCAGGTTGGATGGGGCCCTGGGCAGCCTGGGATAGTATTAAATGTGGGGGTTGGTGCATGCAGCAGGGGGTTGGAGATTCATGATCCTTGAGGTCTCTTCCAACCCTGTGATTCTGTGAATGAAATCGGTTCCAGTGTATGAACTTTTTGACAAGAGGGAAGCTAAAACAGTCTGGATTAGTCCTTTTCAAATTGCTCCTGTAAATAATTCAGTATTTGCAGGGAGGCTCTCAGCATTGCGCTCAGTGCAGGCTTCAGCCTATGAAGGAAATTCCGGACATAGATGGTCTTCAACCACACCGATGCAACAGTTGCCTCTGCCACACTGAAATTGGAACTTTCTACCACTGTGTGTCCCTTCAACAGAGAAAATTGATTATAACAACTTAAAGCAGTTCCTTTTGATACTGAACTGTGGCATACTTTGACAAGCAGTGCTTAAGGCTGCACTTTAAAGGGAATGTGTTTGCGAGTGCATGTTACTGTAGCAGATTTTTATTGTGGTGGTTTTGAGCTCTCCTCATTTCTAAGTTGAGAAGGGACCAGAAAACCAGTGGAGATGGCAATTTTGTGTTTTATGCCTTTTCCTAAAGCTTCACACCTTAACTCCTGGCCTTCAATCATCCTGGGGCTCCAGCAGAGCTGAGTGCCCCTCTGGGGCTGTGTGCCTCGCACTGCTTTCACTACGCTTGTCATCTCTTCCTTGCTGGAATGCTGAGAGACAAGACATATATTACTTGTGTGCTATTTCATTTGTATGTTTTTTAATATGCAGATCCTGGCTGCTCTTTTAATCAGTTGTAATCTCTGGTTTCAAATAGTGAGCGTGTGCAGATATCTAATGAAGAAATGACTTTTTGCTAATGATAATATTAGCCAATGCCTCTCTTTTGTAATCTGGTTTATTTGTTCTTTGTTTTCATATCCCAAGCTCTCTTATTTTTTGAAAACTCACCATTTTAAATATTTTCTTAGTATTTCTGTACTCTTTCTCAAAAAGGAGAGTAGTTTCTTTATTTACAAAATGCAGTACTTGAATATCAACTTTGTCATTGTTGGTGGTGCAGAGTCCGGTTGGAGGCCTGTAACCAGCGGTGTCCCCCAGGGGTCTGTGCTGGGTCCGGTCTTGTTCAACATCTTCATCAATGACCTTGATGAGGGGATGGTGGCCACCCTCAGCGAGTTTGCTGATGATACGAAGTTGGGAGGATTGGCTGACACGCCTGAAGGCCGTGCTGCCATTCAGCAAGACCTGGACAGGCTGGAGAGCTGGGCAAAGAAAAACCGGATGAGGTTTAACAAAAGCAAGTGTAGAGTCTTGCATCTGGGGAGGAATAATTCCATGCACCAGTACAGGTTGGGGGATGACCTGCTGGAGGGGAGCTCTGCGGAGAGGGACCTGGGTGTCCTGGTGGACGACAGGTTGGCCATGAGCCAGCAGTGTGCCCTTGTGGCCAAAAAGGCCAATGGCTTACTGGGGTGCATTAAAAAGAGCGTGGCCAGCAGGTCAAAGGAGGTGATCCTCCCCCTCTACTCTGCCCTGGTGAGGCCTCATCTGGAGCACTGCGTCCAGTTCTGGGCTCCCCA